CACACACAAAATATTTAATAAATCATTTTCAAATAAACAAAGGGATGCCCTCACAGATTTCCAAGCACCCTGAACTAAAGGTTCTTTTTCCCTCTGAGAGTCCCCACAGCCCTTTTCCTAAAACGCTGCTGGCCCTCATAATATCTTACTTTGTGAAAGATTTCTTTACGTTTCTCAATTTCACTACTTAAATTGTTAGTTACTTGTATGTTTCTCTACTTAGTTGTTAGTTACTTTTTAGTTATCTGTTGCTGAATAGTAAATTATACCAAAACATCAGTGCTTTAAAGAATAGATAACCACTGTCTTGGTTTCTGTGGGTCAGGAATATGGGTGCATCTTCACTGAGACTTTGTTCCATTGTCTCTCATAGGCTGCAAGGTATGGACTCCAGACTGGTAGTCTCATATAAAGGCTAAGCTAGGGAAGGATCTGTTTCCAAACTCACTCACTAATTGTTGTCAGCATTCAGTTTCTTGAAGGCTATTGAATTGCAAGCCTCCCTTTCTTACCACCTGGACCTCCAATTGATATCTTGTTTCAACAAAGCATACAGATGGAGAAGACAATAGTCTGCTAGCCAGAGAGAAGTCAGAATCTTTAATAATCTAATAGCTGAAGTGACAGCCCACAAGATTTCTGCATTCTATGGGTTAAGAAGCAAGTTACTAAAGGGAAGGCGATTACTCAAGGCCATGACTACCAGATGACAAGAATTACTGGCATCATCCCAAAGTCTGCTTATCAGAGAATAATAATGGTAAATGCAAAGAATGTTCATTACTTTCTGTTTATAATGACTTCAAATTGGAAATAATCTAGTGTCTCTCAATAAGGAAAGAGTAGAAAGTAAGTTATGGATGGGAATGTAAACTGGTTCAGCCGCTGTGGAGAACAATATGGAGGTTCCTCAAAGATCTACAAATAGAACTACCATTTGATCCAGCAATCCCACTTCTGAGTATCTACCCAAAGGACAGGAGAATGCTTAGTCAGAAAAGTGCTTGCACATCAATGTTTATTGTAGCATTATATTCACAATCACTAAGACATGGAACCAACCCAAAATGTCCACAAATAGAAGAATGGATTGAAAAATTGTGGCACATGTACTCTATGGAATGCTATTCAGCCATAGGAAAACAAGACCCTGGAATTTGATAGAAAGTGGTCAGATATGGAGAATCTACTGCTGAGTGACACAAGACAGGATATGAAAGAAAGATATTGTATGTATCCACTAAATATATAACAACTATCCACACTTTATGGTGGAGATCAAAATATTGGAGGACATAAAAGCAGTGAAAATAGTTAGAGATGCTGAGAACAGTGAGGAATGGGGTGGGAGAAGAGAAGAGTATGGAGAAGGATAACAAGAGAATAAATAGAGAGGCATGACATTAGTGGGACACAGAAAGGGTTTATTACCTGTTGATAATGACATGTCTAGTATTCTTGACTGGACTGGTCTAAGAAATATTTCATGTTGCGTAAATTATTTTTACAAGCAAGATGATCTATAGTGATTGAGTGTTTAAAAAAATATTGAGAATAAAAATAGTAATAATCTGGGAAAAAATTATCAAAAGCTACTTGATGATGATAATGTGGATACTAATGTCTTTGTCTTGACTGATATGCATTGTATTCCTTCTGGAAAAAGAAATGTAATACATTGTAAAGCTATATGTTATTCAATGTAATATAAACAAGATTATGATAATAAAAAATTTTTAAACTTAGAGTGAAAAAAAAGAAAGTTATGGAGCTTCCATTATGTAGGATCTTGTGCTTTACAAGTGAAGAGTAATCTCTGCTCCAAACCAACATTCATTGAAATGTATATTCATATGTCTATACCTGCAGAAAGAAGATTTCTAGGAATATTTCTTGGAATGTTAGAAATGGCCTTCAT